TAGCTAATTGTTGGAAAAATGCGGTCACAAGTAATGTAATAATTTATTTCCTCAAAAATCGCGGGGTCCTTTTCCACAAGAACTCCCTAGAGTTCTGAATAGAAACTTTCATAAAGACAGGTGTGCAGACAAAATTTCTCTTATTCTTGCCGACCAGAATTTGGATCCAAAAGGCGATGTTATCGCTGCTTTATTAAGAAGGGAGAAGCAATTGAGGATAATTACACATGTACAATTGAATTATGTGACAGTGGTCACGGTGTATTTCAGTGTGTGCTTTTATCGCCGCTTACACTAAATAGAATGCTGTAGTTTGGTTATGAAATGTTCATACAGGTTTGAATAGCGTAAGCCATCAGAACTCAGATATGAAATAACAGAAGCCAAATTTTTAAAAAGAGGTTTGCGAGCGCTAATCAAATTATGATATTCGATACGTTGTTGTTGACGTCTTTCGTCACGAGATAATAAAATTTGTCAAATTTTAGCCTTTTAAAATGTTTAAGGTATTAATCGGTGTGGTCTTAAAGCTCTGTCCACTATATTTTCTACTATATTTTCTACTTCTAAGATTTATTGAGCTACTCACATAAAACGGTCGGAGTTTGCTCAATGAACTAATTTGCATAATCGGCTGTCACGCTTGCAATATCGCTAAAAGTTCGAAGTCACCTCGGCGAAGAAAATCAATAAGTGCAAGATTATTAGCAGAAATCAAGCGGAGTTTTTAATGGTCTGGTCTGGACTTGAGCAATATCAATCGAGAAAGAAAGAGTACTTTTAACCAATTTCAGAAAGCTGTCCAACGAGTGTTTTTAAATAAATTATGACGAGCCTCTGAATAAACGAATATCAAAATTGAAATGCATTTTATACACCTTATATATCACACACTTTAAGAGTACAAAATATTTTTTGCTGCATGTGGTGTGATACGAGGAACGGGCTATTCAACTTTTGAAATTTTCGATGTCGCAAGAGGTCAAAAAAGGGCCTTTTGCAGCTTTGACTTTTGAGAGCTCTAAAAATTTTATTTTGAGGTATTTCCAAAAACTAATGTGGTTTTATTTACTTGTTACCAAAGATAGTTTATTGGGTAAAGTTTGAGGGAAAACTTTTTTCCGATGCGAAATGCCCTGGACCTCTCTTACAAAGATCGCCTCTTAAATTTGTTTACCCGCTGACCACTCGTACTTCGGTCATTTCTTCCTGCCCCGCTCGTCGCCCGTGATGTAGTAACTATCGGAGCTAATCAGCAGATGACTTTGTCATCGCTGGAATGTCGCTGTATGACCTCGCTGAACAAGAAAGGCTGCCTTCCTTTCGCTACGTAAGTAACCATTTCTTGTTTGACACATCGGTGTTTTCACTCGCATTGATATTTCGTTGTTCCACTTCGAGACACGCGGTTAACAATACTCACGAGCAAGGAGTTAAGATATAACTTATTAACTTTTAATATTTTTGTCATCCAATCACAGATCGGAGCCATCCCTGTATTTAGTCGCTAGTGTAGCGGACAGTTTTTTCCAAGGTAAATTCATTCAACTACCATATACTTCTCAACTTGATTCTTGTATTACTCACAAAGGAAATAGTGTCTTCAGAGCCAAATATTGTCTCTGTGCTCTGCACTTCCTGACTGCGGTGACATGATCGTTTTTACGAACCATTGTACTTAATATCTATATGTATTTAGCAGACTTTGAAGTTGATTCGCTTATTCCTCACCATTTTGCAGAATTTAGCCGGGTTGCTACGAGATGTGTGTTAAAGTTAATATGCTTTCATCAGTACTTTGTTAATATTAGTAACATCGAACTATTTGTTTATAAACCCTTTAAACCCTGAGAATGACAGCATTTAATTTCTCCATAGAGTAATATGGCTTAATCATTCATTAAGATCACGAGAATAAAGGAAATGATCACCACCTATAGAAGCTTTGATTGTCAAACGAATTCTCCTTGTCAGTACGAGAGGAAATGTATGGAGAAAAGTATGGAGAATATGGATGTTGATGTTAGGGTGCGAAGGGTTAATGCACAGAGCAACTACAGTTTCGTGATAGCATGTGAAGTTAATTTGGATTCTCTGTAACTAACATTCACTAATTTTTGATGTTGATTCTCAGTGCACCTTCTATCAAAGCCTGAGTTTTTTCAGGCTTCATATTTATCTTTACTCAAATAGCAGCTAACCCACCAGGATCATAACTACACTTGAATTTTATCCAAAGGTTCAGATCAAATTATGAGATCAGATTCCTCTATGAGAACATAAAACCCACTCAAATTTATCTTGCTCCCAGTGGGTAGTGGTCCTAAACTAGCTTCTGGGAGATCTAGGTTTAAACCCTATCAATTCCTGAATTTTTCAGGCTTCTGCTTTGTAATTGCTTAATTGTAGCTTACTTGCAAATATCATTTCTTCCCACGAAGAAGCATTGTCATACAAAGAATACTTTGAGTTTATATTAAAAAAAAACCAAGCCCATTGTGAATTGGCTCTATTATTTATGTTCTGATGTAAAATACAAGTGGTAGCAACACTTAAAGGTGATAGGCTGATTGATTTATTTCCATTATCTTATGGCAAAATTAGCTGTGGGATTGGTTGTATATTAAAGCTTTTTCTGACTCTTAAACAGACCTGAATAATCATGTGTTTTTCAAAATTGACTGCTACAAATCTTTAATTTCACTTAATAAAAATGAAAATTTTAAATACAAAACTGGGGCCTATCCAAGGGAAAATACAGTGTGTACAATAATATATTTTCTTCATTTCTATCACAGTGAAGTTCCTTCAGAAACAATTAAAACACAACATCATTCCAGTGGCTCCTTGTTTTGTCTTCAAAACAAAAATGTTTGATTATGCATTGCAAACCATCAATTGCAACATGTGTGGGTACACAACTTTTCTTTGTGGCCATGACTGCACTAGGCAATGGAGTTGGCCTTGTTACTTCTGTGTTTTGGACAAGGTTGACAAAGTTGTTTGTAGCATTCGATTTTAAAAAAATGTGCATTAAGAGAGGAATTGACCTAAAAGAATTAAAATTATGCAAAGGTCTATGACCATACTGTGCAACTGGCACACCTCTACCCCACCTAAGCAAGGTTCAAATTCCCCAATCCACAGGCTCCAATGGCGGTCAAATACCCATGGGTTGCCCAGGACTGGGGGAGGGGATGAAACTTTGAACCAGCTGGCACATCAGAGTTTTATTAAGTTTTCTCTAATAATGATAAGTATTTATTTATAGAAGACATGTCCTCATGGATTCTGCAACCCCATTGTGTTCTTCTAACAAAGAAAAAGACAATTTTGCCAGGCTCTGTCGCCTTCTTATTACAGTTGGACCATCTGTGCTAACAGAGATCTTTAACAAGGTTTGTTCACCAAAAGACCTTGACTCAATTCTCAACACAAATCGTAGCAAACTAGAAAGTCTTCGAAAGAAGAGGATCCTGAGTATAGGGCAGTGGTTACAACTGTATCCTCCTGTCAAATCATCATCATTTTCCTCAAGAGACTTTGAACCTTCTCTACAGCTACTTCTTCTGAGAAGTATCTTTGGTCTACATCTCCCTGCCAGTTGCCAGGACAACTTTCCTTCAGCGACAGATACTTCCCCACTTGCTGGCTTTACTCTCATCAAAGTCCTTAGGGACAAAATTTACCGTCATGATACCAGTGGATCAGTGGATGATCCAACCTTCAGTTCCTACTGGTCTGAGATTGAAAAAACCTTCCTGTGTTTTGGTGGGAGCCACCATCTTGAAACTATCAATAATCTTAAAGTTAAATTTTTGGATGAAGATCTTAGAGAAGGGTACCAAAAGCTATTCAGAAAGTGGATGAGGGATGATGCCTCCACTGAAGACAAATTAGGAGAAGTTAGAATAGTGAAAAAGGCCAGGAAGGAAGAGGAAATGGAGGGTGCAATTGACATTTCTGAGCAAATTTCAGGAAGGGAAGGTCTGTGTAACATTTTAGTTGATACTGAGTCTTTAAGTTGCTTTAGTGGGTCAACAATGTTTGACAATTTCAGTCATGGCTCATTAGAGGCAAAATATGCTCCAGAGACCTTAAGAATTTTTTCCCTTGCTATTTAAAAAGTATTCATTTGAGAATCAAAACAGCAACCTGATGTTTTGTAAAATTGTCTACAAATGTGCTAAAAACCAGCAATTGGAAATCCCACCATTTGGAATCTTGCTTCTTAACATGGCTGCTCATTCATACTTGAGTTTTAGCAAAGTCTTCCCCCCTTTTATTTTTAACCAATCTGTTTCCACTTTGAGGAGCTACACACAGAAAATGTATTCTCAACTAAAATCAAATTTTTGAGGTTTAGTAAGCAACCTCCAGAGTCAAATTTTCAGCAAATCTGAAGAAACTTATCTGAATCGTTTTGTTACTCATTGGAATCCTAAACAATTGTTAGAGGTAAATTTTTTACATCATTTTATTAAGTGGAGGTTCCTGAAGCACATTTCTTTGTTAAAGTGAAGGAATTTTCTCAAATTTTTTCGTGTGAAGAAGTCACAGTTTAAAGTTGTTTGTCAGACCAGTGTTGTTGCTGAAAACAGTTTTCATACTGTACTTAAGAAAAACTCCTTCACAAATAATGTTACATTATGTACACTTGTGGTCAGTATGTAGTATTTTGTCATTTAAAATCACATTGTTCCTTTACAGAGCCAAAACTTTTTCAGCATGCACATGGTGGAGCAGCGGAGAATACCAAGAGCAGCCCACCAAAGCTTAGTATTAACATTCCAAAGATTTCTGAGCTTCCTGAAAAATGTTCTGAATGGGTAAATGTTGAGTTTCCTGTTGATATTGTGTTATTCACAGTGGAAGAAGTTGAGTTTTTATCCTGTTTTGCCATTTTGAAGAATCCTGTCAAGATATATTACATTGGTACTGGTGTGGTATACTTTAGTTCTATGGAGGATGAACAGGGATACAAAATTAAAATTGCTTTAATGCGTTGTTCCAATGATCATGATGGTCCTGGAGGAGCTTTGTCTGCTGCAAAAGATGCTATTTTGCATTTGCAGCCCAAGGCTTTAATTTCTGTGGGCACATGCAGTGGTTTAAAGAGCACAATGATCAAGCTGGGAGATGTAGTTTTGTCATCAAAGGTGATAACACCTGCATTGCAAATTCCACCAAGGAGATATGTTTCTCGTCTTATCAACCATATAGCAGATGGATGGAAACAGCCAGTCCGAGATGCAAATGGATATGAAGCGAAGGTCCACACTGGTACACTTCTTAGTATCCCAGAGGCAAACAAGGACATAATTAGACAATATCCTCAAGCAATTGCACTTAATAAGAATAGTGGAGGTGAGAATCATAATAGCCAGGGACTTTTCCCTTCCTTTTTGAACATATAGATTGTGGGAAGTAATTCAAAAAGACTGTTCTGGAATTGTTGTTGCTGGTCCAAGAAATGACGTACACTGTATCATATAGACTAGAGACTTTTCAGGAATATATTATGTGTTTCATTAGTGATTTCGTGTCAGGCTGTAAGACCTTTTTGTTGTTCAGGGGGACAGAAATGACATCTTCTGCACATAATTAGTTTAAGTGGCAGAACAGAAACAAAGAAAAGGGAAGCCTTGTAAGCCTTATCAGGTACTTATGAATTGTCCAAAAAATTGTCATCTGAAATATGTAGAGAGTATTGTGTTAAATGGGTTGAAGCTTGAGGAATAGAGTTGCAGTCTCTGATAAGTCTATCAAGAGTTTGTCTAGTGAAAATGTAGTTTTACTTCACAGTCTCTATAGCACGTTTTTTAAATCATCAGATTCAGAAATTAGCCTTGGGTATGACTAACCTTTTCTGAAGTTTGTGTTTACATATGTAAAGGGTGCTAATCTTGAAATTTCAAAAAAATGATCTTAATTATAGAAACTGTAACCAAATGTAAACAAACATTTGTTTCTTTTCCAGGATTTTGTACTGCAGCTAATGATTCAGGTACAGAATGGCTGATAGTAATGGGCATTGAAGACTTTGTAAATGATATCCAGTCTTCCATTAACAATTGGAAAGAAGTTGCCTCTGTGATGGCAGCATCTGTGGTGGCTAAAATATTCAGTGATCCGAAAATATTCCAAGATTGGCCTCACTCTTATGCAGGTATTACATCTTTCTTTTCTTTGTACAGGGAATCCTCAAATCTTTTATTTTCCTGCGGCATATTCTTGTATGTACTGCAAATAAAAGTGGCCTTTTCCTATTTGTGACAGTCCGCAAATCTTAATCCTGAGGCCTCTCCTAATTTTGGGTTCCTATAAGTTTAAAAAGGCCTATTTCGGTGTTTGGCAGAAATTTGGGCTTATATAGAGGGGTGCAGTGATGAATACAAGTTTTTCTTCCAAGATGCAGAAGAAACCTGTATTTCTTAGTTAGCTTAGTTTACATAACACAGCCACAAAGATAAAAAAAAAATCAGGCTAATGAGATCTGGAAACATGATTTAAGGTGGTTTGCATTGACCTCGTGGTCAGGTACATTTTTGATGGCAACTCCGACCTCAAGTTAAGTAGCACTGAGCTTAAAAGCCTTTTCTCCATAGCCACCGCTCAGACCCATTTCCTATTTAAAGGTGTTATTTTACTACTCATGAGAGAAGCCCTTCTCTTATGAGTAGTAAACCTAGTAAACCCAAGCGATGCACTGTAGAAGTGTGGTGAGGTGAGAAGTAAGGAGGCGTGAGAAGGGAGAATTCATAACGCCTTTTCTTCTGGGCCTGCTCTTTGCCTTTTCGCCGACTTTCCCAATGTTCCCGCCTGTTTTGCTTTTTCTAAGAGGAAGCCTGTGGGCATTTTGGGATGAAATGTTGGCAGGGAAACTGCGTGAAATGACTCAATCGTTTCAGAAGGTTTCTATTCAAGGTCTTTGGTACTAAACACTTGGAGCATGTTTGCTCTTCCCTGCTTTTTGGGTAAAGTCTGATTGGATGGAAAGCTAAAATAGAAGAGTGCTGACCTGTTTTGGCTCTCGTTATTACATAATGCAACTTCTCGGTGTGTCACCGTCTTTTATTTTCTGCCCATCCTCACTGAAAGTTTTTTAAACCTCTCGAGCGCTATTCCCCTAAGCCTTGCGTTCACTTTTAACTCGGTAACAATCTTCCGCACCCCAAGCGATCCCAAAGCATATAGGTTATTTCTCTGGTTGATTTTTATTTTCCTTAAATTTTAACTCGAAGCTTACGAGTTAACATCTCCTAAACTCGATATTTGAATATTTCAGAATCCACCCAGCGGACATTTGTCTTAACGCATCACTATATTACATTACTATATACCACACAACTGAAAAGCGCTTTTCGCCCTCACTGATAGGCTAGTTCGGAAGTGAATAGTAAGTCCTATTCACCACTGAGCAGCCAATGAGACAAAATCGTGTGTCAAAAGATTAATTTCCGACCATTCTTCGGTGTGTTGAAAGAATTAAACCTATTATTTGGTTTCTGTGTGGAATGTACCAAAAAAAATAATTATTCCCCTCAACTTCGGTTAAGAAATGTTAATCATAAAGTCCACGGTTAATCGAAGTGTGGAAAATACTCTACAGTGTACATGTGAAAACGAAAAAGAATCGCTTCACAGTTTTTAATGATGCATACGATAGATGCTATTATGAGCTTCTCCCATCATTCAGAGTAAAACCAAGAGTTCAAGGTCCGTATTCTCTTAAAAGCATGTGAGTTAATTCTTGTGTACTCAAAACAGCGAGTAGTAGGAATACATAGGGCTAAACAATATTTTGTCCTCGTGTTCACATTATTTATTAAGAATTTTCCTTTTTTTTCAGCCACAAGTCTCTGCTCTGCAGCCCCAAAAGCATTTGCCTCTAAACCCAGTTGCACATTGTTATGATTCATTTTATCATCCCTAAAGTACTCTTTTGATTGTGCATTATGTTTAAGTCAGCATAGTGATGTGTTAAAATAGTGTACTTTTCACCTTTTTGCAGAAATAAAATGCCCAAAGTATATGTTTACAAAAATTATGTTGTAATAAATTATGTGTATATTGTTCATCGTGGTGTAAGATAGGAAATTAACTATGTTCGTTTGTCTCGCGATAGAGTCACTTTTGATGTTGATCGCGACGTTTCGACTGCAATACTGCAAGTCTTCATCAGGCGATGAGGTCGATTGTTTACGTGCCGCTATTTGTAGCACGTTGGTACGCTGCTACTGGTGCATTTCGATCCTTGTTATTATTCCGGCAGTTAGATGGTGTTCCCTCATAGGTCCTCATAAATCGGCTTAAAATCTTAATCCTTTACCTCGTACTTCAAGGAGTGATAACTCCAAAACCTCCATAAGACCACATTCAAATTGCAATCAATTTTCATACGACTTTTTTCCGTGGTCAATCAAACAATTGAATAGACTTCCAGGAGACTCTGTGCGACCATCTTATCGAAACTGGGAAGTAGTTTTAAAAAATTTCACTTATCACATACATATTTATTGTTAGTGTTTATTTATTATTGAAGAAATGTAAAATGGTATCCGTGTTTACACTCGATAAGCTTATCTCGTGTTCTCCCAACCTCTACAACACGGAAACCATTTTATATTTCTTTTATAAAATAACTAATGAAAGAGGAACGAAAACCGTGTTCAAATACGCTCATGTAAAATGGTTTTACGGCCAATCAGAGCGCGCGTACTATTTGAATTATTTTATAATCCGCTGGTCGCCCGCAATCCTAATCTCAACATTGGTTACAAACGCATGCGCGGCAGTTATATAGCCTTGCAGTGACTCGAATTTAGCAAAAAAAGTCGTCCTTCCAAATATTTGTCCCTAGGGACACCAAGAACCAATGAAATGTAAGGACGTAATTTGAGCATAGGCGCTTTGACCACGCGAGACAAACACGAAGCAGCAGTAATTTGAGCACAGGCGCTCTGACCGCTAGAAACCAACACCAAGCAGAAGACAATTCTCACAAAAGCATAGCTGTTTCACGTTCCATAGTCAATGATCTTTAATGTAGTTGAAGGGCTCAAATAATATGCAAATTTCGCCTTCTTGAAGCTAAGAATGTCAAGAATCACGTGCAGTTCATGCAGAAGTGGCGGTCCATAAATTGGAATGCACACAACACAATTTTATCACGTGGACGACGTCTATTTCGTCGAAGAATCACGTGCAGCTCATGCAGAGCTGGCGCGCCGTCCAATCAAAATCGAGCGTGTGAACTTGTGATCGGAACGTTTCCTGTTCGTGTCTGTTGTTGTCGGGTATCGAAATCTTCCGGCCATTGCGAGAGATCTGTGTTCCTCCTTGGCGTTGTTGAACTGTAGAGCGAGAGCTGTGCGTCCATTGACCTTGGCGTTGATCCATTGAAGACTTGAACTGTAGAGCGATCGAGAGCTGTGCGTCCATTGACCTTGGCGTTGATCCATTGAAGACTTGAACTGTAGAGCGATCGAGAGCTGTGCGTCCATTGACCTTGGCGTTGATCCATTGAAGACTTGAACTGTAGAGCGATCGAGAGCTGTTACAAACGCATGCAAATCATGCATAGCCCTCGCACGCACTTCCTAACCTGTGGTTATTACTAGTTATTATTTTTTTTGTTGTATTTATATTGATGTGATGCGTTGATACGCTTTATCAATCAATATAGTAGAAGTGGATGCCAAAGCATGTTGCGCGAACTGTTTGTACAGAGACACTCAAGTGCTTGGCACATCCATCCCCTCGACGATAACGTGCGTGACTAAAATTAAGTGTTATTAATTCTTTTCTTTTACTGAGTGGTATGAATAATAATAAAACATTAGGCATGAAAGATGGCTGCGTTTTCGCGTTATAAACCTGTTTAATTGCCTTTTGTTATGCTAAATTTGCCAAGTGTTTTAGTCGCGGCATAAAAAGTCTCACAGCATGTGAAAACTAACTTGACATACCTGGTCAAGTCTGCATTGATTTAATGAGACAATAATATACCATACGCTTGTAAACGTGAGAATTGACGAGAACATCACAGGAACGTCTTCAGGCTTCTCAAGATATAACGACGTTCAGCCCCAGCTCCAAACTTAGAGGGTCTTGATGGGGTTAACTGACAACTGACAAATCGCTGAAAATCTAACTGACAACTGACATTTGTGGTGGGCTTTTACTAACAGGTGACAGATGACCGGATCGCCCTAAATGTCCTCAAAACTGAATGTAAAATAAGGACAGTTGATTTATTCTGTCCAATAAAAGTACGTTTTTTTATTACAAACCAGCAAGAGTACCCAGAGTGTCATATTTCGTTAATAGTTACTGCATGGACCATCCACATCAAGGTCATATGTCACATATCGGTTATATGGTTTTTGCTACCCAACTCGATCGTCAAATTACGCGATGGCCGTCAATGCTGGTATTTTCAAAGCTGTTGCTGCTGCTGAATTGATTCGGAAACGGCATTTGAGTGTCACAGAAGTCGCATTCCTATTAATAATGTAACACCGTACTGGCGCTGAAAAAGCACCTCATTTCGTTCCCTGGTCTGAAGGAGTTGTCCAGTAAAATATGGCCTTGGAGATTTTTGTGTGAAACTTTATTACATGGCTCCGAAGTCAGGAGGGAGGAGCGACAATTTTGCCTTAACTACGGACGAGTAATGGAATCTGGAGCTTCCGACCATACTGGCTGGAACAGGAAGCGAATTAAACAGTATGTATTGGAATGGTTTGGTATTTGGTATTGATAAAAATATATCAGTTAAAGGGCTACTTTGTAGTGTAGAACCAGACACCGATTTATAAGCATTAAGAAAGGTTGTCAGTAATTTTCGAGAATCTGGTGACAGAAGCAAAAATTCAACTTTTTTTTATTTGCTCCAAAAGACCCCTTTGGTGAATCGTTTTCAAAAATAATATTCAAAAGTTCCAGCGAGTTTTTATTTTGGAAAAAAATACGAAAGTTCGAAATCGGCCAAAACGTACCCAATTTGCATAATTTCTATCGGGCTCTCAGTGCATTTTCACAACGCTCGTACAAGACAACAGAAAATTATTTTGGATTCATTTTTTTCATAAGTTGTTTTTCATCCCTTGGAGTAGCTTTGCAATTATATTTCATCTCCAACTGAACTTTCTTTCGTTTGTAACCACCCGCGTAAAGTACACTATATTTTCTATTCCGTTTGTACGCTGAATTTTTCTATATTTCAGACGACCATAACATCGAGGGTTTACAAATGTACATAAAATAAAAGAGTTATTTTCAACGAGAAACTCTTCGTGTTTATCATGTAAAAATATTATTTTTGGCCCGTGAAAAGCGAGCGCGTCAGACCAAAATATATAGCGTACATTTGCACGGTGTTAGGCCATTTTCTTGCTGTACTCCTACTGCAAATCGCACGCTGTTGGGACAAAACTCGACGTGTTTTGTCTCTACTTTAGTTTTGATTCATTTAAATATATCAATTTTAACTTTAAAATTAACCTACCTTTATTGTTAAGTGAACAAACCACCGTTTTAGGTAAAGTTTTTCAGTTGATTTTTCTCGAGTGCTAAATAAACAAATCGCTGTTTACAAAGATACCAGCTCTGTCGACGTGTTTTTAGCTGAAATTGGCATGTCGCATTTATTGTTCTTTAATGTACAATCTATCCCACTGGCATAACTTTAGAGCAAATTACATGTAACTATAAATGTTGTTGTAAATACGTGAGCGTGATTTAAATAAAATATTCGAAACGTAGTTGTCGGATGAAAATACTCGCTTAATTGTGCATGAACCTTGTGTGTACATTCGGTGTTTTGCGCGGTTGCTATATTTCTACCACTGTCACTGTAATTAAAATAGTATGTTTGTGTAGTTAACCTGTTGAGATACATTTTCAAATCAACTGTAGTTTGGAATTCTGTTGGTAAAAATTGTCGAAGAAATCCGAGAAAAATAGCATGTAGCACCGGGCAGTCGTGCTACATTCCATCTCACCGATTTCAACGAAACTTTGCCAGGTTAAAGGATATACCCCAAAACTAAAAAGACAAACTGGTTTCTGTTTTGGTTTTTTCCGGGGGGATATAGACCCCCCGGTTTTTCTTGATCCTTAATTAATGTCCACCTCAAGTATCAGTCAATTTGATTGACGACTTGTCAATCAACAGAGGCAAATAAACGACTGAGTTTTTAGACTTTTCGATTCATTCAAATATTTGACAACTTTGAAAAGTGAGATGCGAAGATCTTTATTATTTTTTTTAGCTTAATAGCAGCTGTACCCTCTCCTGCAGTCTTCGTCTAAATTTGCAAGGTCACTCCTTATCTCTTGCCTTGTTAGAGGCGGTTACCTTACTAGTTTCCTCCCCTGTCCAGCTCATGTAAAGGAGATAATTCTTTGCTTTCTGAGAAAAGGTGGCTGGTTTTTGTTTTTTCCAAAGAGCCCATGCAAAGTCCATTTGGCTAGTTAGGGATGTTTCGTCAAAAGTTTACCTGAGGTCCGACCTTGAATGTAGCCACCCCCTTTAAAATGGCAAGCCGGTCTTCGTCCATTTTCTCTTGATCTTATCATAGGCGGATTTTTTTGCAAGCTTCACTGTGTTTGCCTTTGTTAGGGTGTTTTTGAATGGCAGCCAATGACTGAAACGTCTTGATACATACTTCCTCTTAGTAAGAATATCTCGCTTTCTTGTTCTATCTGTGACAGATTGGATATAGTTCTCGCGATGACCCGCGTTCAGGGATCTGTGCACGTTGCTGATAACCGCCCATTTCTATGATAAGTTTGCTGAAGGTTTCTGATGTGATGAGCCTAGTGAGACCCTGAGGTGCTTCAAACTGTGCCAGTTGGTCTGCGCTATAAACTTGTCGCAGTTCTTAAGTCAGAGGGAGGATCGCCTACCT